TTGGGCTAAATTAATTTTGTATTGTGATTCTTTTTCATCTATCTTGATGATGAGGGTAATCTGACAAGACTCTTAAAAGCAAGTAATAGTGAAAAAATATTGCTTTCTGACATAATAGAAAAACTGCAAAAGCAAACTAAAATATGTACTTGATTATAACAGGGATATTTAATCAAAGGGAGAAACTGAGAAAGCCTAAAATCATCTTTATAATATATTAAATTCATTAATTTATTCATTCAGAAAGGCTACTAAACCATACAATTCATTGCTAATATTATCTATTTCATTTATAGTACCCATACCAAATTATCATTTAGAAAATGTTCATTTTTATATGTTGTAGCTAAAATAAATTTTCAGTAAGTTTATACAGCTCACACACAACTGTTAGTCTAGCATTCCACAGTAATTGTAGTTTCATTAAATTAAAAAAGCAAATAAAACAATTAAATCCATGTATGACTGCTAATTTACTCATAAAAATGTTTCAAATATTAAAACATTTAAGACAATACTTCAAAATATGATTTAAGCAAACTGTTTTTTTAATTGTAAGATTAAAGTTTTAACAGAACTAAATGAGTCTAATTATACTCAATAACACCCAACCAATTAAAAACATTTTCACTTTCTAATTTAGCTTATTTGTCAAGCTAATGCTAAAAATGGCTCCTCAACTATTTAATTTGCTGGACAAATTCTAGATGTCTGTGCTTCCTGTGTAGTAACGAGCTGTTGCTAACAAACTATACACAAAGATCATACTTATTAGGCACCTCTTATGTTTATACATATGTAACTACAATTAATATTGCAGGCTAAGTCAGAAAGAAAATTACCTTAGTTAACCAACCATTGCAAGGCAATCAAACAAGATTTCATATGATTAGAAAGGATCTGTTTGGTAGAAATAATAGTAATTATTTCATGGAAAACAATTAGTTTTCAAAGCTTTAATTCTGCTTTCACCAGCCTCATCAAAATAATTTTTGTCCATAGTAACTGACATGAAACATCACCTTTAAAACATTTAAGCTGCATGGAGACTTGAAAGGCAGCTGGTAGATATAGCTTATTTGCAAATATTGGTTTGAACTTGTAAATGCATGACCGCATAAATCTCAATCCACTTAGAGCATATGCACTGTGCTCCCTCAATTGTACATTCAATTGGGAATTGAGTGGGCAGGGGGAAGAACATGAATGACATGAAAGCTCTTTCTTGGTGCCAGCATCTTTGTGTCAGTGCTTTGCCTTTTGTTCTTGTTGTTCATGAGAATTCCGTACATTACACAGTAGGGACTGTTAATCAGCCATTTTGCCAGGGTGATCTTCATGAAAGTTTTCCACTTACACTTGAGGGAAGATTCAGAATATTATATTCCTTTTTTGAAATGTTAATGCACCTTTTAGGAAATTATATCTACCTTCTAAATCATTCCAGTGTTAAATTATTAAAGGGTGACATTAAATAAAACACCCAAACTGATGCAAATAGCTAAATACTTTAAAAGACAAAAGGGTTATAAAGTTTGAAAGAGCATCTTTTGAAATATGGTAGCATTTAACTTCAAATTAAGAATTTTAAATGTTTAGTTAACACACTAATAAACTTGCAATTTGCTTGTGAGATATCACAAAAAAAAAGATAATGAGTTCTAATTTCTAACCAGGAAAAAGCTTATTTCATGGCCTTAACTTTGTTACATATATGAATTGAAGAATCATATATATTATTAGAAAAAATAAAGAGAAAAGTGCGCATATTTGCAATACGTACTTATGTGAGTATAAAAGTTAGGCAATAGCTTGGAGGCCAACCACACATGCTAGGGGAAAACGGAGTTCAGATAGAGAAGAGAACACCAAATAAAGGGTGTTGGGAGGATCCTCCCAGGATGGGAGAAGCATGCTGAAAGTAGACTATAGACCGAACATGATTGTCACCCATTGCCTCTTCTGCAAACCACAACACCCAATAAGAGAGAGAGAACAAAGGGGAATGCCCTGCCACAGAGGCAGGATGGAATGGGGGGATGGGGGGTGGGAGGGATACTGGGATCTGTGGTGGTGGGAAACGGGCACTGATGGAGGGATGGGTATTTGATCACTCTATAATTGAAACCCAAGCACAAAAATTTGTAAGTCTACAACTGTACCTCATGATGTCTCACTAATAAAAATTTTTAAAAAATAAGTAAAATAAAATGTAAAAAAATAAATGGACTTTTATAAAAAAATAAAAGTTAGGCAATTTCCATATAGATTTTATTTCTCAAACAAAAATCAACACTATTTCAACATACTATCACCTTATGGAGCTTCAGAAGGAATAGCATTATAGAAACTTTATGCGTGGCTGGGAAGTTAAGATATATAAAGTATAAATTACTAAAGTGCAGGCTTACAAATGTCTCCTGTGATCAGTGTTCTCAGTCATTTTAGAAGCAAAGTCAGGAATTGAGTTAATAGAACACTGCAGTGTCCTAAATTGTTTTCCCAGTCTCCTGGATGTCAGTCAATATGTTTTTTTGATTCTAAGCAAATTGTGGTGTAATTCAGGGGGAAATAAAGAATAAAATCTGTTCAAGAAATCTCCCACATTGTGACCACTATTTGCTAAGAACTACTTGCTGGGTAAACTCTTTAATTTCTATTTAATCACAGAAGTTTCAGAAGTGACTGTGACACTGTGGGACTGACTAGACCTCTTTGAGGAGTTTTAATTGCAGAGTTTCTGTTTGGATACAGGAACAAAGAGGTTAGATCGATAACAGAGTCAGCATTTCAGGAAGATTTTCCCACATTTCTACATCTGACAAATTAAGAATATATTTTGAAGTTTTGAATGTATAATAACTTGATTTCTCCTTTTCTTTTTTAGCAATGCATGAACAATAGGACTCCTTATAATTTCTGATAGTTTGATTTAATAAAATATGGTAATTGCTAATAATACACACTGAGAGGTTTTTGTCATCTACAATTGTGATTAATTACTTTGATAAAAAAGAAATAAATCATTGCCAAAATTTAATTGGTATTAATGAGCCTAGTATCAAAGAGTTTATAATATATATAGGAAAGGAAACATGATGTAGGAAAAAAATAATAGTAGAATAAAATGACATCAATGGTATAAAAGCATTACAACATGTTATATGTTTCATATAATTATTCTTTGGTAAATTGAAATATGCATAGTACTAATATGTGACTAATATATTGTCAAGTTTTTGTGATGGAAAGAAAAATCTTTTTTGAATAGCAGAATATATGTTTTTACTTTTACTTCAGTTATGCCTTTATATTGCTTCTACTATGCTATCTCAAAGTCGTGCCAGAACGAATAATTTCCATTTAATATCAATTCATTAAAATTATTTTCTTGGACAAATTAGTTTGGCTATTCTTTTGTTTATTTGAGGAATAAAGAAAGAAAGAAAGTTTACCTAACAGTGCTACTACACTGAAAATCTTCATTGGATGCATTTATTATCTGTCCTCAATATTCAAGAGGCTTACGTCTTGAATTTAATATTGGATTTTAATATGTATATTGTAGATGACATTTTAAAGCTTTCTAAAGCTACATATTGTGACAAACATCTAAGGGCAAAACCAGTACGTACATGACATCAAGGAATTCAGGGATAGGATAAATTTAAAAACGTAAATAAGATGATAAATAACATCTCTAGTTAGTACACTAAGTAATTTATATCACTGGGAATATAATAGCAATAATTACATCAGCAGCATCAAACATGGAAGACTGAGCATTATATAATTATAATTCAGTGACATACAATTTAGGGGTTTTATCTTTTAATAGAAAAATATAATAATACAAATGCAAAGTGTTAATCCCCAAAATTAAAGTGTAATGTTACTTTGGAATATAACTTTCTTATTTTCATACTTTAAACATATTTTAATGTCATTTTTTTTAAGACATTCAAAGACAACAGATCAGTCTAATCAGTGTCTTTCATACTCTAATCTTAATTTAAATGAGGTTTGGAGTTACTGAGTAGAGTTTAACATCTCCAAAACAAATTGCCTAAAATTTTTCCCACATTAGGAACTAAAGAGATTCCATTATAAATTAAAGTAATTCACATAATTAGTAGAAGTATGTTGACTGACTATTAAAAGATTGATTTCTCTGTGATCATTGGCTCTAAAAAATAAGCAGATTGATAAACTGATGGATAGATCAATGGGTGAACAGACAGATGATAGGCAGATAGATAGATATAGATATATGGAACTCATTATAAATATTCTGTCATTTTCATCATCAGCCCAATGACTTTTAGAGCACAAGACAAGTTTTTAGAATAGAACGTAAATATATCAATTAATATTTACCTCAACTGTTAACTACTGGCATTTCAAAGTTTACCAAAACAAAAGATTATCATAACTGAAGAAAAACAAATTAATTTTTTTAGGTTGATATTATTTCTCTCAGTGATAGTACAGCAGGGAGAGCATTTGCTTGCAACCCTGGCATCCCATACATTCCTCTGAGCACCATCAGGAGTAATTCCTGAGTGCAGAGCCAAGAGTAGCCCCTGAGCATCGCCCTGTGTGAGTCAAGAAGAAAAAAAGGAAAAAAAAAAAGAAAGAAAAATTAATTCTTACTTTAATCAAGCTGCCCACCATTAAGTGACTGGAAAACGCATAACACTATTCGAAAACTCAAAATTGTCAAATGCAACTGATTCTTCCAGTAACATATTGATAATATATACAATGATCAGAACTATGCATGAGAAAACATTAGATAGGTCATTTTTTTAATGGAATAGAAGGAAGAATTGTTCAAATAAATTACAGACCTTAACTATCTAAAAGCATTTTTATGCTATTTTAAATCAAACGCAATGGCTTATTTTGTGGATTCCTAATACTAAAGGACAACTAAAATTTATTTTACATAAACACAAATATCCAACACAAAAAGTCAAGTGCTTAGAAAGGGTCCTTACTGCAAAATCCTCTCTCCACTGGTGGGCTGCTTGAACTTTTTCTGCTTCCTGGGCCAGACGCTGAAAAGAAAACAGTAAATTTTAGAATTCAAATGACCACATCAATATATAATTGTTTTGTAAAGAGTTTGAGCCTTCAAAACAATTATGGGAACATAAAATGCAGAAGATTCCTTATTTATGATTCATAAATTATAAATAATTTAGTAAACTAACATACTAAAGTTGATATACTGTGTTTACTACACAGTAAAATAGTAACATACTACTCTTGAATCTCATTAAATTTACTATGTCTGCCATCATCAAAAGCAGTATACTCTATAAGTACTTTCTTTCAATGAAAATACTTCAACTTCAGTATTTCTAAAGATATAACCAATTGAAAATATTAATCTTTTTTTTTTTTTTTATAATTTATTTATTTATTGAATCACTGTGGGAAAAGTTACAGAGCTTTCGGGTTTAGGTCTCAGTCATGTAGATACCAAACACATTTCCCTTTACCAATACTCATTTTTAACCCCGAACCCCAATAGACCCCCACCTCCCACCCCTCCCAATTCTTTGTGAGGCAGATGAGTTCTAGTTAATACTCTATCTACTTTGACTAGATAGATTATTTCGATAGAAGATGCACAATCATTGTTTAGCGTTTACGACCCACTCCCCCCCCCCCCAATCAGACATGCTGAAACAGCGTTGTGAAATGATTTGCTTTCTACAACTTGGTTTAAGAATAAAATGATGTCGCGCGCCCGCAATAGCGGCCGCGCGGTTTTGAATTTCTGCTATTTTACTTATTGACCCTGGAAGAATTTCTATTAAAAGTTAGCTAGTTAAGAGATTGGTTTCTGTGCCCTGGAGTCGTGGCCGTGCCGGAGAGCCGCTCGTGGGGGGCAGCTGGCGACCTCGGTGGGGCGTGGGGGACGGCCCACAAAGCCCCCCTTCCCATGAGGTCCCCGCCGCTCCCCCGAGCCCGGCTCAAACCCGCTTTCCACAAGGCTCCCGTGCGGCCGCCATCTTTCTTTCCAGAGAGGAGCGGGCGGGCCGGTCAACGCCCTTCCCCCTCCAGGCAGGCTTGGTGGCGCGGATCAACACAAGTCCATTTGCTTTTCTGCTCCAGAGAATATTAATCTTGACAGAATCAAGCTTTTACAAAATTCCTTTACATGCTTTTACCAAATACAGCATATATTTCTATATAATTGAAAAAAGATATGATATTAAGAGATCAATAAACATCTGGAAATCATCACTATACTAAGAATATATATATTGCATTGTTAACCAAAATCCACAAAATAATACTTTTTTTAGTTAAAGCACCTTTTTATTAGTTCTATGATAATCTGTGAACATCAACTCATATTTGCATATTTGTTTTTGTTCCTGGGCCACATCCGGTGACACTCAGAGGTATTCCTTGCTTTGCATTCAGGGATCATCATTCCTGTCAGTGTTTGAGAGACAATATGGGATGCCAGGGATCTAACCTGGGTTGGCTGTGTGCAAGGCAAGCACACTACCCACTGTACAATCTTTCCAGCCCAGAATTTACACATTTTAAATCGAGGTCTTATTTCTTCTCCACTCTTACATGTAAATATAGAGAATTCTATGATGACTTATTTTCCTCTAGCAAATTTAAAATGATATTCCATGACTTGGAGAAACAATACAGAGAGTAGGGTACTTAACTCTTATGTGACCAACTGGGGTTTGATCCCTGGCACCCCATATGATCCCCTGAGCCCGCCAGAAGTGATCTCTGAGCACAGAATTAGTAGTAAGCCCTGAGATCTGCTGGATGTGCCCCCCCCAAAAAAAACAAAACTATTTTTAAAAAATGAAAAACAATTTTATTTCATGTGGTTCATGTGGATCAGTAGTGGAGAATATCTCTGTTGCTAATTTGCTGATTACTTTTTGGATACAAATTATTATTTTTTGTCTAACAATTTTCAGATTTTTCTTTACATATTTTACATATTTCAGTGCTACTGTTAATTGCTGGGTAGACAGTACCAATTTCTTCATAGAAAATTTAATTTTGGGTAAAAAATATAAAAACTGAATAAAAAATGAACATCAAGTCATATTCTTTTTTATTTATTTTTTTCAGGCTCTATTTTGTTTATTTATTTATTTTTTACAAGGCATATAGGGTAGCACTTAATTTTGGTATCTAATATTTTTTTAAATTTTATTGAATCACCGTGATATATAGTTACAAGCTTTCATGTTCGAGTTACAATCACACAATGATCAAACACCCATCCCTCCACCAGTGCACATTCCCCACACCACCAATATCCCTCCTTTCCCACCCTGTCACTGCCTCCATGGCAGACAATATTCCCCATACTCTCTCTCTCTCTCTCTCAACTTTTGGGTATTATGGTTTGCAATACAGATATTGAGAGGTAATCACATTTCGTCCTTTATCTACTTTCAGCACACATCTCCCATCCCAACTGATTCCTCAATCCATCATTTTCTTAGTGATCCCTTCTCTATTCCAGCTGTCTTCCCTCCAGCTCCTGATTCAATTCCCAGCACAAAAATTGCTCCCCAGAGCCTGACTAGGAGAGATTTCTGAGACCACAATCAGGAGCACCTCTGGGTATGGTCCCAAACAAACAAAAATTAAATTAGTGTAAAACATTCTTAATGAACTAAATATCATTTACTGGAAATTTCTAAAATAGTTTTAGAAACCTCAAGTTATTCTATATTTTAATGTAAAATTTAAAAGGATGAATTAAATTTAAAAAATTTAATTTGTATATGCTCACTGGAAATCAACAAACACATAATCATGGAAATACACTTCAGTTATCTGCTTTGTTCATCAAGGAATTAGTAAAAACTTAGAATGCATCAACAGTTAACTCATTGTTAAAATATTTATTTAGAATGAATAGCCAAGAATGTGACTGCATTGACTAGGCACGTAGGGCTTCATGGGATGGGGGGTGGAATTGGCCCTGCTCCCTGCCAAGACAATGCTCCGGGATGCCACTCTCAAACGCCTCCTCCAGCTTCTGACATGAACCCAGAGGCACACATACCAATCTCGGAACCCAGGGGCTTCTGGTAGTAATCTCTCTAAGTTTATTACTAAAATATTAGAAATCCAAATTTGCGTGGCCACTATTGTGGCCACACAACATCATATGTTCTTCATAAGCAACATTAGAAAACAAATTTTCTAATGATGTCTTTGTGGCAGGTCTGAATGTTGAGGAAAATTCCAAATAACAATGGTGGGTTTTTTTGTTGTAATATTGAATATAATGAACACAGAGAGAGAGAGTGTGTAAAGTGGAAATCTGCTACACAGGTGGGGAGTGGATGGGCAGGGGGGGAATACTGGGGTTCTTGGTGGTGGAAAATGTGCACTGGTAAAGGGACAGGTGTTTGATCATTGTATGACCAACCAAGATTGAACTGAAAGACCTTTTTACTGTTCTCACAGTGATTCAACAAATAAATAAAAAATATTAAAAAAATTTAAAAAAAGAATTTCATGATAAAGTATAAAGCTTTATCATGACTCACACATATAGTTGCTGAAGGTGTTCTCATGGCAAAGACCAGTTCATTAGTCATGACTTACAGAAAGTTGACACATCTAGACACTTTAAGTTCTTAATTAACTTCTATCCTAGTCAACTGACATTTTATTTTTAAAGCCAGTGATGTACCATTAAAGGTCACTGGGAAATCATATTAAAACTGATTTTAAGAAAATTCTACTTAATAAAATGTATTTGCTCAGCAGAATGTCCCTGCTTCCACAGTTAGTTAAATAAGTGTGCATCTGGTAGCAATACCTGACTTTAAACTGTATCTCTCTCATTTATTTTAGTATTGCTTGATATAGTATCAAACAACAAAACAGACCAAACATGAGCTGCAAATGATACAAAATAACAGATCAGCATAAAAACTATGAGAGAAACTTAAACTTACTTATGTTCATATTCAAATGAACTGCAAAGATGAGCTAAGTGGCTTTATTTTACATAAAATAGTAAGTGGGTATCTGAAAATCCTCTTCATATGAAATGCCAAATTCTAATGTAGCACATCACAATGTCATGAAAATATTAATAGTTATATAGCTCGACCTGATCAGTGGTCTCTTCACGTCTAGAAAAAAAACATGGAAAAACTATTTTGCAGGGGCTGGATAGCTAGTACAGCAGGTAGGGCACTTGTATTCCACCCAGCTGACAAGGGTTCATATCGCCCACATGCTACATGGTCCCCCAAACCAGCCAGGAGTCAGAGTTAAGTCAAAGTCAGAAGTAACTTCTGATCATTGCTGGGTATGGACCAAAAATTATTTATTTACTCAGAAGTCTGATGAAATGGTATGAAACTAAGTCTTCTAACTCCATAGCATAAGTTTCCATTCTTCAGTCTTCATTAAACCCAACAAAACTGTCAATATCACTAAACATTCACAGAATATATGAAGATAAAGTAGTTTCAAAATCAGAAACACTTCAAACATTTCTTCAGGTCAAAAAGATCTTTCCCAGAACATTTTTAGAAATGACTAAAGAACACAAACAAAAAGCATAGAAAAAAATTGTATCAGGTTAGGAACTGACTTTATAAAGGTCTTTCGTCTTTCTTGCCTTCAGATCCTGAGAGAATATTGCTAATCAGCAAAAAAATAAAAAAATAAAAAAAGTCTTTTGAAATGCAGAGGTCTATAAAAGGGCAATAAAAAAAAGACCTAGAAATATAGAATGGAACAGGTTTTATCAGATCAAAGGAAAGATCAGCTCTTGAAGATTTATTCATTCTCAGTCTTCACTTTTGTCATATCTTTATCTCTTGCACTGCTTTTCCGTACTGTCAGGTGATAATGTGAATCAAAAAGCAGTATAATTATACAGTGAAAAAGAATATTTCTATCATGAACCTTAACAGCATATATTTACGTATATATGTATGTTTTTCTTTAGAAAAAAACTATTTTCCTAATTTGTAAATAATTTACTTTCTTCACTTGCAAATGAAAATGAATTTTTTTGAAATAT